CCACAGATTGGCGAATCAGCAGATATAACAACCGCCACATTCGTGCATCCACCTCATCTGTCACACTACAATTAGAACTGCTTCAACTTCCAAGATACGTAAAACGCTCCACTTCCAGTATCTCTTCCTGGATTGGATTCATGTACAATTTATTGTGATTCAGCAAGGGTTCCGCGTAGCCTTCCGGTGATCCACTCCGCATATTGAACTTTCGCCCGACTAACCACACGTATGCACCTGTCTCCAGATCAGGCGTTATTGAATAGGAATCTACTAACATCGCTTTCTTCACAAATTTGGTGTGACAGGTGCAAAACTTGACCCAGCCCTATGTCGATCGGATACGATAAGGCATGAGACTTTTGTCAGTCCACCAGCTTCCATCAGTAAGAAGTAACAAACTGCAATTTCACGTCAGTCGGGTGCCTATACCTAAACTTATTAGTTAAGGGACATCTTCATTTCAGGGACATCTTCATTTCATGCCGCATTAGTACAACAGCTAGAACTGAGCACTAGTCAGCCGAACAAAGGTTCGTTATCGTGTCTCTTAGTGTCTGTCTGTGTTAGTACTGCATAAAAAGCCTGTAATCAGCACACAGCTGAGGCAATCGTTCAATATTGCACGTACGTACCGAGTCCAAACCATGTCGACATCCTAATTGAGTCTCAGATACGCTAAGCCTACCCACTTGTGAATTCATAGCTCCGTCAATCACCACATCTGAGCTTTTAGTTCACCGTAACAAGGCATTCATGGCATCGTGAAACCTGTCTTTGACGGCGTCGGAGCCACAGTCAGTTGAGGCGTAAGCAGGTACGATAAACATACATCGACCGAATTTCCGATTGTGAGGCTCCTTCACAGACGTTGCCAGACGAACCGCACACAGGTATCCCGTCAAGCAAGACTACTTCCGCCCGGTTACTTGTGACGATACCGACCCCTGCGCATTCCGCACAGAAACCCCTGGATTACCAGAGGTGCGTAGAGGGAAGCGAGTGGAGACTGATGGGGCGGTTAGCTCAATCACTGTGCTTGCATCTTGAATTCTCATTTCTGAGACACAGCACACATCAATGCCAAGCAAGTCCAGTGTGAGAGCGAGAGCAGCTTGATGTCCTGCTTGCTTCAGAGTGCACCCATTGAAGGCGGTCAGATAGACTGCGCATGGAGGCTTGAAGATTGATTTCGAGATACCTGAGGATGTCGGCGCCATGTGACGAGCAGATTTTTCACGCAAAACCGATGCAAGATCGACGGAGTCATTAGTCCGAAGTACTGAGCCTACAAGGGGAGAGTTATTACAGAGCGAGGAGTAGAGTGGGGAGAGGGGGGAAGAAGTATGTGAAAGAAAAAAGCGAGGCGTCAGCGGTAGCCTGTTTTCGTTTACCCGCACTGCTGTACGCAGCAAGTAAGGCGACCCGACTGATGACACCACGCGACGGCCGATGTGGCATGATTTTATTTGGTGTGTGATTCCTCGTCGTACGTGGGCTGGGATAATATCAGGGCGCCATGGTCGTACCTTGGCTGAGATAATATCGGGGCGCCCACACTTAGACAGGAAGACAATTTAGGTCCTCAACCAAAGTCTTCAGCTCAAAAGTCCAACCGCAAGGTAGCGGTGTTTGGCGGGAAATGCAAATGCATTACCATTTCTAAGGAACAAGCCGCCACATATTCCAGCCCCAACCCGGCGGACCAGGAGACTGTTTTTGAGACCTCTAACCATCAACCAACTTGGTATGGAAGGCTGTGAGTGTCGCAGGGACGCCAGCCAGTGTAGCTCAATTGGTCGTTGAGGTGCACAAACCGTCACACCAGGTTAAGTTCCAATCTCTTCGTCGCGGGGTCGTGTTGGCACGGCTAGTGATTAGAGTTATGGTTGATAAATTAAGACTACCGCTGATTCAAGGGCACATGGTCAGATGTTATTTCTCGGTTACCCACGCCGAAGAAGGGGAATCGTTCGATGCACCTCCACCTTAAGCCTTTGGCTAGAAGGTACGGGGAGAACGTGTTTCGGCCCCCTGCCCGTAGCCGCTAACTTGAAAGTCTGACTCGCCAGGCAATAGGTGTCAAAATTCCTTGATGGACCCTCCCCGGAAAAATGGAAGTAAAAATAGTATTATCGATCAGGTGTAACACCCTTTCGGCGTTCAGCTGCCGTGCCCCCCACTCCCCCGCCCGGAAGAAGCATGAGGGCTAAGAAATTGCCAGATCGCCCAGGCCTACACAGGAGCATAATCGTCTAACTCCTGACATGAGTGCACACAGCAGGTGCCATCTGAACAGCCTCAAATCCTTGGGTTGTGAAAGTACGTCGGTCGTATTAAATGGTGTATCACCGGTCACATTCAACCATATGATGATTGGAGTGTCAAGGTTTCCAGGGCCAACCTATTTTTGACCTGCCCTTCTTCGAGGAAGGCGGCGGGTTCGAAGCACACGAACTTCGTTCCTGAGATTCTGACGTCTAAGTTTACTTAACCGGAAGTGGCGTTCTATTTCATCCTCTATTGATCTTTCACTGTTTCACACAGAAGCGTTGCAAAGCTAATCAGCCGGTAGTTACTTAGACGGCGTCTACCCTCCCTTGAATATTAAGCTCACAACTGCAATTTTTTATTGCATCGGCCAGCGACCTCAAATAACGTGGTGAGCGGTATCGAAACAAATATCTCTGACGACCGCAAAAGCCATGGGGATGGTTCATTCGAACCAGCAGCAGTGTGGCTATTCAAGGCTAACAGAATTTTCTGCAACTTTTCCTCGTGACACATACATCGATCCGAATTTCATCCGTCAGACACTACACAAAAATTCGAGGCATTTCTTCACAGTAGGAAACTGACGCATATTGCTCTTGCAAAACGCAACCTTTCCGTTTATAGTCCTCTACCATTTGAAGGCCCGTGGAGTGCGGCGGAATTGTATTTTCCACTTTTCTTTACCGCGACGTCAAGTAAGCAGATAACGTTTTGGAGCCTTCGTCGATAATTCTGCCCACCCATTCCTGTACAGCTGTATTTTGCTCGCCTCATCTTTGTGCAAATGTTTCTACATTTATAAGTACTATAGTCCTTCGGATTGACGGTGTTTTGAAGCAACTCCAAAGAACTTTACAGTTTGTTTTTAGAAGTGCACGAACCTCAGCATCTACCTAGGATGGTGCGCAAACGCATGTCACCATCATCATCATCATCGACAGCATGATATCAGTGTCCAACACCGATGCTTCACTGCCGTACAACCATGACTTATTTGAAAGCCTTATTGTAGAGAAAAGAATAAAGGTGGATGGAAGAGGGACTTAGTGTTAGCTTAACACAATCATTCCGTG